AGTGAAGCATTTCTGAACTACATGGACGATCGGAACATCAAGCTTGACCTCATTCCCAAAGATGCACATCATAAGATGGGGACAGTAGAGAGGCTACACGCCGTCAGACGATTGCAGTTGTTGAAGATGAAGCAGGAGAACCCAGGTCTCACATTGGCCGATGCAGCACCAATTGCCTGCTCACTTCGCAATCGCCTCAGATCTGTTCATGGATCTTCCCCATCACAAATTGTCTTTGGTACAAATGCTGGTGATTTGGGCTTGATGGATGAGCCAATGACCAATTCTGCTGAGCCGACAAAGCAGTATCAACAATTGCAACAGCTACGATTGCAAGCTGCAAAGGCCTTCTACGATGCCAACTACAACAATACCTTGAGGAAAGCCTTGCTCAGCAAGAGTCGTTCAGAGCCTATGCAGTTCTTTGTGGGCGACTGGGTCTACTATTGGCGTGATGGTGACTCCAAGCTGGAAATCAATCGATGGCGTGGTCCTGCACTCATTTGCAGCATGCAGCCTCGTGGCATCACAGAGACAGATGCAGGCCCTCGTCCTGATATCTACTGGTTGGCCCACGGAAGCGCATTGGTTCGTGTCAGTCATACTTCCTTGCGTCCAGAAACTCCACCTGAACGCCAGGCGCGTTTGCTGCACCTACTAGCTACTGCTCGTTCTCAGGATGTGCAAACTACTGTCCGTGGCGCTCTACATCCAGTTCGTGGTCCTGTTCGTTTTCTTGACCTCCTGGGGGACCCACCTTTTGCTGACGCAACGGGAGATGATGAACCCCCAAACGAACCGGAGACCACAGAGCAAGAGAAGAAAGATGAAGTTGAAGAAGCCATCGAAGGGTCAGGTACAGCGGAAGCAGATACAGAACAGCCGCAGCCAGAACAGCAGCAGCTTACAGAACCACAGCAACCGCACGCAGACATGCCACACGCGGCTGCAGAGGCACAAACCAACACGGCAGCTGCGGAAGCTACAGCGCAAACCCAACCTGACCCAGAAGATGAGAAAATGGCTGAAGTGAAGAAGAGAAGTCACGGCCCCAGTGATGATGCTGATGAACGACCAGCCCACATAGCCAAGAGCTCATCCTCGGCAGATCCTCGTGAAGACAATGAGAAGGAGGCAACTCGTTCTAGAAGCCCCTTGCCTCGAGATGAGCGAACTTTGGCATTCCGGTCATACAATCTCTCTCGACAGCTGGATGGCCTACCACCTGTTCAAGAGAACGACCCGGCATTCCAACGCTTCATGGACGTCACTGAGCCAATGACTGAAGATGAAGCTCTGATGGCTGAGTCTTTCAATGAAAAGAAGCTCAATGCAGAGGAGAGAAAGGCCTTCGATGCTGCTAAGGACGCTGCTCTCATGGTTTGGATTGAAAATCAGGCTTGGAAAGCTGTTCCAGAGTCTGAAGCTCAGGAAGGAGAAGTTGTGCCAGCGCGCTTTCTCCAGCGCTGGAAGCCCACGGCTGATGGACATGTGGCCAATGCAAGAGTCATCCTGCAAGGCTTTCGGCACATCGATGTCCTGAGCGAGAATCTTGTTCGTGAGTCTCCCACGTTGAGCCGTCTTGGCCGGATGATGGTCATGGTTTGGGCGACACACCGCTCATGGAAGTTGTGGTGTGCGGACATCAAGTCAGCTTTCATGCAAGCAGATTCGATCGACGACAGCACTCGTATCTATGTTCGACCTCCTGCAGAAATGAGAAGGCGTTTGGAGCGACTCATGGGTTTGCGTTCACATGAGATTCTGAAGGCGACCAAGCCAGCTTTTGGCGATGTGAGGGCTCCACGACAATGGTTTGACACTGCTGACAAATACCTCACCTCAGAATTGCAGTTGATGAGCCATCCACTTGATAGATGCCTCTATCTTTCGTTGAGAAAGGCCCATCGAGATGACGAAGAGTTCTTGACTTTCCAATTGGGTGAAGAGTGGTACATTGTGGATGGAGTGTTGGGACTGCACGTTGATGATTTCATTGGTGCAGGAGAACAGGTGTCAGCATTGCAAGATGTCAAGCATGATCCCGCAGGTCAGTGTGATTGCTTCCAGCACCGCATGTTTCATCTCTCCTCTCGCTTCAGGTTCGGCAGTTGGGACTTTGGAGAGAAGATGCGTTTTTGTGGAGCAGAGGTGAAGCAGTCTAGTGACTTTGAGGTCATCACTGTGTCCCTGCAACAGTACGTGAACAAGATCAAACCATTGAGCATGGAGAAAACTAGAAAGGTGATGGTTGATGATTTTTGCACAGAGCGCGAACATCGACAGCTGAGGGCATTGGTTGGAGCAATGTCATGGCCGGTCACACAATGTCTTCCCCAAGCTGCAGCCTCAATCAGCTTGCTTCAGGCAAACATCAACAAGCCAATGGTCAAAGACATGTTGGAAGCAAACAAGTGCTTGAGGTTTTTGAAGGAGGTTGTGAAAAGCTATGTCTTCACCCTGAGGCGCCATTGTTCCATGGACCAACTCCGAGTCAGCCTTTACTGTGATGCTGCCTGGTCTGTCAGGCCAGACGGGAGTTCACAGGGTGGAATGATGATGTTTCTCTCCAGTCAAGCCGAGTTGGACAGCAGAGATCCTTTCCCTTTGACAATTGTGGATTGGTCGAGTAAGAAGTTGACCAGAATGTGCCGCAGCTCTCTTTCAGCTGAAGCCCAGTCAGCAACCATAGCAGTTGATGAGTTGGAGTGGACGAAAGTCTTCATGGCGGCCATGGTTGATCCGAACGTTCCCATCCAGAACGATGAGACGATGTTGAAGTTTGGTGGTTCAGCCGTGATCACGGATGCCAAAGCCCTTTTTGACAGCACCACTTCCGTGACTTCAGGTCTCAAGCTTTCTGAGAGGAGAACTGCCATAGAAATTTGCATTCTTCGTGAACGTTTGGAAGCTTCTGGATCCACAGTTCGTTGGTGCAATTCACTACAGCAGTTGGCAGATGGACTGACAAAAGGCAATTCAAAGGACACCCTGGCTCATGTGCTTTCGAGGGGTGTTCATTCGCTTTGCTTCGATCCTGGATTTGTAGCAGCCAAGAAGGTCTCCAAAGAAGATCGCCTTGTGGAAGAGAAGGTGCTTGAGAAAGCTGCAGAATCTCTCTTCGATGGCCAGATCTGTTTCGCTGAAGACCCCAAGGAGAAAGAGCAAAAAGGACTTTGCCGTCTTCCTGGCTGCAAGAAGCCAAAAGAGGCAGGAAGCGAAAAGAATGCCTACTGTTCCAGGAGGCATTACTATTTGCACCAATTTCGAAAAGGCAATGGCGGAGATGAATGGCAGAAAGCCGCTGTGTGTGCGCTCACAATCCTCACGGCAGAAAACATCCCTGGAGCTGAGGCAGCTGATTTGGATGGAAGCGAGGACACCCGTTTTTACAACACAATGTTGGTGGTTTTGTTCTTTGCCTTCCTCGGCGCTTGGAATTCCTTCCGGATGATTTTTGAGTGTTTGAATAAAGCTGCACAGAAGATCAGAGCTTTGCTCGTGTCTGTCTATGACTAGGCCCCTGTGAATGTGCACATGGTTAAGAATGACACTCCTGTAGCCGTAGGTTTGAGCCATGGCGTTGTGGCGAATAACCCGGACAATGAGAATGACCTGACCTCTGAAGAGGAGGACTACCCGAGTGAACCCAGTACAGAAGAGATCGTCAGGTGGAATACTCTTTACGAAGAGGTTTTTCAAAAGAACAACCAGAAGAAATGGGTTGAAATCCCAAAGATGCTTTGGACAGAGAACTTCACTTCAAGCATGAGGGGACACATCATTCAGCACCTCGATCCAAAGGTGAGGATTCGTAAATACCTCTCCCTAATTTTGAAGAAGCGAAGTGAAGAGGCAAGCGATGCTAAGGTGAAACAATGGCACAGGTTCGTGAACGGACATTTCACCTTGGTTTCGGAGACCCACATGACGGTGAAGCGAAAAGAGGCCGAAATCCAAGATTTGACCCACCAGGTTTTCATGCTTGGATAAGAAGGTGATCCAAAGAGAAAGCAAGTAGAAAGATTTCGCAACAATGAGATTCAAGAGAAGATTCAGCAAGCAACTCTCACATACGACCCAACGAACAACACCATGAGCAAGCTCCCCGATCGACAGTATGGAGCATAAATGTTTATTAGTTCCTACGAGGACCAATTTAGGAAATGAAAGCCGGGCCATTTCGAATGTTTTCCGCAAACCGAAATGATCCAATTCTTTTTACTTCCTTCACCGGTTTAATTGCAATTCTCACATAATGTCAATTCATGGTCGATTTGCGTGGCCATTAGGGCCCTTAAGCTAACGTTAAATTACGACCCCACTTTTGCGTAAGAAAACAAGTTCAGACCTTGCGTACCGATCTACCTATACACTTTGATTACCTAATATTCAATCCAATTAATCGTACGACCAGAGGCATGCATAAAATATAGAAAGATAATTTGTTGCCTATTCCAGCTAATCAAAATCTTAGATCGAATGCCAAACACTAAAATACGATTAAATAAATGTAATTTATAGTTATAAATGCAATAAATCCTAAGCAAAAAAAATAAATTAGACATCATATCCTAAAGTATGCAATCTATGGATTTTTCATTTCGTATAATAATTGGCAAATAATTCATTCCCCAATCCTCGACGGTAAAATCGAAACAAACCTCCCATCGAAGAGCCTATAACATATCATATATATATATAAATATTATATATATACATAAATCTAATTATATATATATTTATAATCCCATCAAATCATTAATATAAATGTATTAAATATATAAATATTTTATTAATATTAAATTTTAATCCTATATAAATATTATTATATATATAATTTTAATATACATTTGTTGTAAAAATCTTTCGAAAAAACAATATTGTGTCGACCTTGCGATCGATTATTATATAATATTAATATAAATATATATATATATAATATTGTTATATTATATGGAAATCAATATATATATATATCTATAGACAATATATATATTCCATCAACGCATTTGGTAATATCCATCGTCTCTGATCCTCGCATTGTTTTGAATATGATCTGGTTGTGACCAAGATGATTGATCATGTAGTCCGGTCATTTCAATGGGATCTCGTCCTCCGCATTCTCCAAAGATCGCAACACTCTCCCTGATCGGCCGCCACCATACCAGTTGCACAGCCATTCAGATTAGCGGTCCACGCGTCAGACATGTTGAGATGCCTTCTTCCCTTGAACCCATGTTCGGGGTGGCTCCACCGACACTGCTTCTTCAACATAGTCCAAATTCCAGAAGGTCCAAAAGATGGTTGGTCAGGTTCGAGACTTCTCTAGTGATTTGATGCACATGGGCCGAACCACCTCGGAGAGGAAGGAGCAGAATCCATTGCGCTTTGGAGGCTCTTCTGGCTCCTCTGGCAAACCGTGTGCGGAGCTGTAGCTACTGCCATAGAGACCACCAGCTGCGGGAGCAATTGGACTTCGTAGGGCTCTCATGCTTCCGCATGCAGCGCAGTACTCCAGACTCAGACTGTTCTGCAAGGTGCACTTGGAACAAGTCCAAAGATGTTCAGATGCTGGTGGCAAGCCACAGGCCGCACAAGTTGTGGCACTGAACGTATTGTGCATGGTGCATCTGCTGCATGTCCAAGTTCTCTCTGCTTCAAAGCCATTTGCTGCGATTGCAGGCATACTTTTCACAGGCTTGTCCATGAGGTCCTTCCGCCTTGGACCCTCTGTTCTTGAAGGCAGCGGTGGCCGTGGTTGGGGAATTGACAGGCCTTGTCCACAGGGCTCTTCTGATTCCAGTGGAGCTGCAATCAGCATCTCATGAGTGACGGCTGGAAGCAAATTTTCCGGTGGGCCTTCACCATCAAGAGTGATGTGAAGTTCCTCCACCTCTTCTAAGGAGGGTATTCTCCAATGTGGCCGGTCCTTTTCACCACTGAAATCAAATACAGCATTCCACAAGTTGCGACTGGTATCGAAGCGCATTTGATCAAAGTGAGCACCGGAGCAGGGATATTTGGTGCACCAAGGGCCAATTGTCAAGTCATGAGATTCCTCGATGATGGGAGCTGTTTTGCTGTAGATGAAAAAGCGGCAGCGTCTACAGGCCCGAGTCCTAAAAGTTGCATAAGGTTGGAACAGCTAGAACTCCCGCTAAGGTCAGCTGACTTGGGAAAGTGTCACTGTTCAGTCAGAAGTTGAGAATCAATGGATTGGTTTAAGGGAAAATCGTCAGGAAACCACGGCTTTCACCACCAAAGCTATGGGTTTCCTATAAATGTTCAGAACGGGTCAATTGATCCTGCGAACCAAAGAACAGCGACAGAAGCATGATTTCAACGGGTTCCGTCCTCAGCTGCTGCGCCGCACACCAGATCGTACAGTCCTCGCAGTCCCGGACAAAAGCGGAGGATTCGCAAGGGCCCAGCAGGATGAGACAGTTCTTACAGTAGTCGATGAAGACTTGGGCGCTCGTGTCGCACACATAGACTTCACAGTGATCCAAGGTCCTCAGCAGGGCGAGAACCGCGACTAGCCTATTTTTTTTGACTCCCTTTAGTGGTGACAGTGACCAGTGCAAACATGTGCAAACTCCTGGTCCGAAGTGGGAAAGGTATTCAGGTTGAACATTTCACCAAGTTTGAGCAGGACAAAACGTCAAAAGCGCCATGATTGATGGTCTTTTTTTGCGCCGGCCATCCAAGTATCATCAAATTCTCATATGAACAAAGCCATCAACAATTGTCCCTACTTCCAGTGCCGGTGAAACCTCAAACGACCTGGGGTCTTGGGGTCGATCGGGGTCTTGGCGCGGGGTGCCAAGCATCTCCAAGGTCAGTTGCTGCCCACAAAGCGATCCAGGCTTTCGAAGGATGACTTCTTCTTGACGGTTCATGATCTGAAACCTTGACAGCTCACGAGATTTGTAAAACAACACACACCAACTGAAAACAACACACACCCATCTAGTCAACTGGGTGAGTGCATGTGAATGCCTTGGATAAAAAGGTGAGATCAGTTTGATTTGTATGACACGGTTTCCATGCCATTCCGATTCCGCGCTGTAGGAAGGTCATATGATGCACCTTGAGCAGGTGAAGGTCCTTTCAACAGGCTTTAACAAGTTTCGGCCCCTACCCTGATCCTTAAAACAACAGGCATTTAGAACATAAATCAATCAGATTCCAGTTCAATACACTTGGCTAGTAGACTTGGTTGGATGATAGCCATCGGAGGGACTGACCAATAACCACTAATAGGCAAACCCTCCTCATCGTTTCTCGTCCTCACTCTTCAAAACATTTCAAAACTACAAAAGCCTACAAGGTCTAACCTACCATGGTTTATAAGGTCTAACCTACCAAGGTCTAACCTCTAATTATAAGGAGTGTTAACCTACGGTTTGGTGGGTGATGTCTTGACCCACAGCCAGGCTGACCCGGGAACGTTCTCTGTCGAACTCGACCGGAGACGAGTTACGGATTCAGCCGCCCAAAGCCCGCGCGCAAACCTGGCGAGAAAAGACTTGGCTGGATAAAAAACCATCGGCAGCTATCAGCAGCTAAGAGATCTCTGATCCACAAACATCCTTAAACGCCAAAGGAGTCAGGACGACGTGCTCTCTTGTGACTTGTCTCTTGAGCTCACAGCTCTCGTTCCAAGGGTTTTTGGGCGAGGCCCACTATTTGGAACCAGGGTAAGTGGTATCTTGGCATGTGGAAATCAAGGATCTCATCTCGGGTTCTCTGCCAAGCATCCCTCAGGTGTCAGACCGGTCTGCCTCGGTGCAAACGGCAAAGTGGTGACATTGCAACAAACCTGAAACTAAACTGCCGTGGTATGTTTAACATCTTTAAGGCCAACATTCGTGCTCTTCAGCCTGGTTCTTGAACTCCAAACAATGTTGCTTTTTCGCGTCCAAAATTCTTTCATCCTGATTTCGAAGCCCTCTGTGGCCGGTCATGGCGCCGAAGCTGGGGGCCCGCGCCCGTCGCTGTGTTCCGCGAACTCTTCGAAGAAGGTCTCCACTTCTTTTTGCCCGAAGCCCAAGAAGTCGCCCACGTAGGCGCGTAGGTCCTTCCCACGGTCAGGCGACTTTGTTGGTTTTACCACCCTCTTTCACACCAAAAGCACCGACCCCAGACAGTGTTTGGGCAAACAGCCAGGCTCGCCAGGTGTCGTCAGTTGTTCTCTGCTTGAAACAAGGGTCGAAAAGGCGGCAGAACTGTCATGATCAGAGCACGCGTCCTATCAGTTTGAACTCCGAGAGAAAGCGCCATGGAAAGTCTGTCCAACGGAAAATCCATGAAAGAAAGGCCATCTTCAAAATGAAAAACACATTAACCATGCATGTGTTTTTTCACCAGTAATGAAAAGAGTTTACAACGCCCTACCACCACCAAAATATACAAACACATACAAACACAACATCTTCTTCCACGCGGGGTCCTTGATAAACCACATGAGGGAATTCCAGTCCACAGGCCCGTGGGCTCCTAAACCTTTTGTTGGTCTGCACTGATGCAGAACTCCGCCATCTTTGAACTCCGGAAAGTGACCAACCAGAATCAAGCCATGAAACATGAGGGTTTAGGTACGTACAAAGCACCACATCTTATTCTCAACTTCTCAACGCTGCAAGCATGCGGGAGACAGCGTGTACTCACAGATATTGGACAGTAGTGTTATGATTTAACTCTGGATTTCAGTCGTCGTTTCGGAAAACACACTCACCAGCTTGTTAAGTCATTGCCTTTGATGAACTTCATCGTTCAACCCTGCCAAAGGGTACCCGGGCCCGAAGAGGGTGTCAAGGGTGGCAGGGCGGAGAAGAAAAAGGTCTCTAGAACATGCACTTGAGCCAACATGGCAAAGTGCAGGTTCTTACACCATCTTACACCTGAATGGTTCACATCCCAAGGAGTCCCGGAGTCCCTACCCAACCAACCATTCACCTTGGAAGATAAGCACAACCTTGACTGTGCAAAAGTTATGCTTAGTTCACAAGTTAGCCAAACAACATAGGGTGATGGGCTGTGTAATGATCTCACCAAACAATTTTTTGTTTTTTAATACTGCATAATTATTGCAGAGGTCAAGCCCATCCTTTTCATGGGATCAAATCCAATGACGCAGCAGGCCTTTCACCTCTCCCTTTGGCCTGTCACCTGCCTCGAACGACCCAGAAATCTGCAGCCATCATCAAAGCGACGTGCCAATTTCTCGTGTTTAGTGCGCAGATGGGCCAGCGTGGCCACGCGGTGGGGGTCCTCAAGGCTGACCATGGACCGTTGCCGGTCGTTGATCTGCCGATAGACTCGCAGCACCTCCTCTTCACTGGAGCGCTCCGAAGCGCGGGCCTTTGTGGTGCACGGCCAAGTGACGTTTCACACCCTCTGGTCGTTGGGTGCGAGAACTAGGGCGTTGTAGTGTGTGTGTGTGTGTGTGTGTCTTTGATGTGGAAGATATAGTAGGACACATGTTTGGAAATGATTCTTCATCTTTGATCCTTTTTGGTCGGTGTGTCCAATGATGTCCGACCGTGAGAACAAGAGAGGGGCTATTGCTTGGCCACCATACACCTATTGCTTGTACACACACCGGGGTATTTCCTCTATTGATCAATCAACCAAAGGCCATCCATGAGTGTGTCCCTACCACCCCTCACAGCGTCTGCCCGTGACGGGCACCCCTTGGGCACCCTTGCCGTGGCCGGGATGGTCGACACACGCTGTCGCCGTGGACGGCGGCCTTCAGCCTAGGTGGGACACATGGGAGGTCCTTCCACATGGGAGGTCCTTCCACATGGGAGGTCTTTCCACATGGATGGTCTCCACCCTAATAGCTATGGCCTCCGCGCTAGCAGGGATGGTCTCCACCCTAGTAGCGATGGCCTCCAACCTAATTAATAGCAACGAACCAAGATCCGCATCAAGATTCAAGGGGACATAGATGGAAATTAGACATCTGCAACACACACCATATGGAATAGCGAACACATCTGGTGGCACGTCACGTTTAGCGTTTACGGTGTATGTGTACATATGATATGTGTACATTATCTACGGTGTATGTGGATCTTTTCACATTTTGGGAGTCAATTCCTGCAGGGATGACGTCCTGCTGGGTCGTGGGTCGTGCCTGTGTCGTGTCTGGGTCTGTTGCTGCTTCTACCGACAAGTTGGGTCGTGTCAACCACCGCATCGTAGAAGGAAACCATGGTGTGGGAGCAACATATCATGTCATATCTATGTTCAGGGTAGAGCATGTGCCAAGCTTGTAAACAAAAATCTATCTATATACTAGGACATTCCAAGTGGCCTCTTTGCAGTCTCTAAGTGACTTTTTACAGGCCTAAGTGACCTCATCCTGGGATATCAAAAGGTAACTTTGAAGGTCCTGGTATGCAAATCATTGCAGTCCTTCTATGTCATGGTATGAGAGAATGAATCTGATATCTTGCCCACCATCCGAAAATCACCATATCCCAGACTCTCCATGGGACTGCCATATATGCCGCCCCATTGACCCCCAAAACCATCCCAATGTAGGTATATACATATAATATATATATAATATATATATATATGGAAATATATGGAATACATGGAGCGCCTGGGTGTCTATGTCACACTTTTTCTGACTCGAACATGCTCATTTCAGTGTGTCCCGACGTGACTGCCGTCGGGTGGCTGGTCGACCATCGGGGATCGGCAGTCGAAGCGAGTTGCTTGGACCACTCGGGCCACTGGGGCCGCTGGGGAGCGCGGCGGTTTGCGGCTGTGCTGGCGACCTGAGGTCATCAAATAGAACCGAAGCATTGCATGCTGCGGTGTTCATATGCAACAAGTGAGCAATCGATGAAGTGCCACAGTCTGGGATGACTATTAGTGGCGCCAGTGACACCAGTGGCCCCACTGGCCCCCAGTTGGTGGGGGTTGGTGGGGGCTACTGTGGTGAAAAAGGTTAGCCATGCTCTATTTTTAATGTATGTGGCATGACAACGACCACATGAAATGAATACAGGCTCAACCAGGTATGACAAGTTACATACATTTGTTACAGGAAAACCTTGCCCAGAATCAAATGCATTCCATCCCAAATCAAACGGGAATCCTTCAAAATAGTATTAAATATGTTCTTTTTCGAGCAGTTTGCCATAGTTTGTCTAGTGTTCATGGTCCTTCCCATAACAATAGTTCAATTGTCCTAAAAACATCGATTTGAGGGTACCTGGCTAGCGAGCCCAACAGCTCGAATGTCACCATATCTGAAGATGTCAAAAGCGTTCATCGACTGTGCCGGCGACAAGCATCCACCCCAGGTAACACCCAAATAACAACCAACCAAAGAGAAAACGTTGGCCCAAACAAACCAAACCAACAAACAAACACACAGTGGGTCCCCGTCTGGCCGGTCATTGACCCATGACCCATGTCTAATACTGAAACCCTCTGCATCCGAGCATCAAATCACCATCCCGAACCGTTACATCAGAATCAGCAGACTTCGCGGAGTGCAGCGATGCAGCCTCCAGGTTGGACGCAGCGTCCTCAGACGCGGACGTGGGTTGCAGCCCCATCCAGGTCCAAGATGGTCCAAGGAGGGTCGACCAGTGTTCCACCGTGGCAGTGTTTCATTGCTCTGAAATCACTGACAGTGACTGAACTAATGACCGATATCCAAAGGTTGCTGAACTAACTCACACACCTCTCGGTTCGATATGGTTCGATCTGGACATCACCACTTTTGACCATTGAGGACATCAACGAGATTCCTGCTGACCTGAGGATTCCAGTTGAGGATGCGTTAACGTCTTTCCCCAGGACTCAGGACTCTGATCACATGTGGCTGTAAGTCAAAACCGGGGGACCCTGGTTGATCTCGGAACATGAACAGAATCAGGAGGTCAACCTAGCAGGGTGAAACGGTCTCGGAATTTTGACCCACAGCCGAGCCATATAATAACCCTCGATCACGCACCCTTCCCAATGTTCCTAACAACTCGATCCATGTCCTCCTGTCCAGTCCGATGCCGCTCTCTGGCGTCCTCCGCATCTTCTGACTGCATGGGTTTCGCTGGAAAATCACACCCAGACACGACACATGGGACTGCCATATATGCCGCCCCATTGACCCCCCTGGCACCACCCCAACTGATCGGTAAATATGCCAGTCCCATGGAGTGTCTGGGAAAGGTTCACCTTTTCCACCTGTTCTACAAATCTCGTGGGATGTTCCCCGCATTCCCAATCCTGCAGTTGATCCGGCGAACATTCACTTCACTCTCGCGTCCGGGCCACGAAGAAGGCTGAGGAAGCAGGCGCGCTCGGCCCCCGCGGCGGCGTTGGGACTTCATCGGCCTGCTGTGTTCCAGGGACACCGAGAATCGAGGGCCGAGAATCGAATCTCTGACCGAAAGTCCTGGATGGAAAAACATCTGTTTGATCCTTTTTGAGGTTGATGGTTCCACATCTTGAAAAAAAGGTAACTATATTATATTCTCTGAGACGCCGTACTTTTCAGACATTCCCTCCTATTACAGGAGACGCTCTTCTCCTCAAATCACCTGAAACTCGACCCGGTCTCCGCAACGCCGTCGGTCTCGGTCTCACATGTGGCCACGCGCGACCGCCACGCGACAGCCATGCGGCAGCTGGCTGCGTCCCAAAGCATCCGAACATAGAAGTGTTACATAGATTCACCATTCGCCCCAATTATGACCCTGACTAATGTATAATGATTCCATACATGAATGGTCTGGGACTGAAACCCTCCCTTCCACCATTGATTTCAGCACAGCAAGCTATAGCAAGCTTTACTGAACTTAACCATGACAAACTATTTCAGGTGCCTCAAAGAATGACCTGTGATTTTGAGAGCAATTCAGAATGCGTAATTCACATTAAACAGTTTGTCACCTGGCGCCCTCTAGTTTTCTCTGGTGGTGTCAGAAAACGTGCTGGTCAGACTGCAAGTTTGGTCCATCCCATTTGCGGCGGAACCGGTTCCGGTGTGTTTGATGGAACCGGTTGCTGAAGGAGTGGAAAGTCACCCTCTTTCCAAACAGAAAGTGGACGCTGAGTGCACTCGATCTTACTGACCCCCGAGCCGTTTCACTGGAAAATAAAAACTTGATTTTAGTGAGTGTTTTCAATCGAAAAACGAGCTGGGCATGTCCACGTACCTCCGGACAAAGACTCTCTCGAGTCTGAACCCACTTTTCCACGCGGCCTCGGCGCTCAGCCTTGCCACGTCAAACTGGCGAGCCTGGATCTCAAGATGAGGATGCTACTAGGGGCTCCTGGCCTTACTACTAGGAACAAGAAGGTATTAGGAACTGGATCTCAAGATCTCACCTTCACACGAATAGATTTATATAGATATATAATATGGAAGTGAGGCGAGGGAAGTTTCGTCCCCACCGGAAAATTCACGAGTTCGTCACACTAGTCGGTCGGCTGAATTTCTCTTGAACTGACTTGATGTCTTCGGCTGGTGGGACAAACCCAGAAAAAATGCATTGGTAAACATGGTCTGAGCCATGGTCTGAGGCTCTCTGAGCCCAACTGAGATTGATATAAACCCAGTGAAGTCGGAAATGGAAAACATTTTTCCATTCATTGTTTGATTGTTGTAACACATTGTAAGTCTTTTCTTCAACTGGCTCAGGAGAGGCGGAGTTGAGGACAGAGGAGCTTCATCCCTCGAGACTTCTTCGGAAGCAGCTGAACCGAACTGCCCGAACTCCACTGCCCGAACTCTACGAGTTTCTGGAAGACATCATGCATGACATCTTCGTCAATCAACATGAGGATGGTTTCAGGGATTGATGTGCAGCTGGTATGAGAAGACTACAGTAGAAAAAAAATAGAAAAAGACGTCTTTGGAGTTAAGAGGCACATGGGAAATGATTTCTATGGGTACATGTTTCTTACGAAGTGATGCTCCAGCAAATGCTCTGCCCATTGTGGTTTGAAGTTGCTCTCCGCTTCAGAGAATGCAGGTCCATTAGTCTTCGTTTGGATGGCGCGTGGCTGCAGTCCAGTCTGAAGTTCACGGTCCTCAATGTGCTCTGTGAGTCATTGGTAAAGACTCTGGTCAGCACACTGCTGGTGGAAGAGCAAGAGCAAGCCGACTTGCCATGCTGCTGAATGCTTGGCCGAGTAGGCTTGAAAAGCCATTCTGGAAAAGCCATCGAAGCCATCGACAAGTCCAAGTTAGTGATAAGTGATAATAATGTGAATTAATGTGATAATCATGAAACACTGCCCTGCTTCAGCAAGGTTCATGCGCATTCCATGAAGCCCACGTCTCTTCTATGATGCTGGCATCATGCTCGATTCGCATCCCGTGTCCGTGAGGAGAATCGATTCGCATCTGCACCGTGCTCCGTGGCATGGCAACGGTGGTGCTCGGTGGTGCTCTTCTTTCTCCAAAGCAACGGCTTCACTCCCGGTACCGGCAGAGACGACTGGTCAAACGACCGGGTGGGGTGTTCAACCGGCTGGTTCTGAAGATCCATCCACCTGTCACATGTGTTTTTTTTCTGGCCGGGGGTGTCTTGAATCCAAAGAGTTGGATGCAACACTACACTATCTGGTATCTAATTATTCCCTAGGGCTCCTGGCCCATATCCTCAGAAGGTGGTTAGACCCCCCAAGTCCACCCCAACCATCTTCTCAGGAGGTGGTTGGAGCCCTAGGGATTGCTTTCCAAGGTTTGTTGAAGTTACAATACCCGCAAACTTCGAACATAAGGCTTGGGTTGAATGTTGAGGCTTGGCTCCACTATGACTGCCACTGGCGGAATCTTGATAATGGTAAGCAAAGGAACCACGACACGGTGGGCTAGCAAACATCAGAAATGTCCAGTGGCCCCGTCGTCTGCGTCATCGGCACGATGTCAACATGATGTCAACATTGTCTTGCCTATTCTGGAGATGCGTTCAACTATCTTATCTATCTTATAGGAACCAAGAATCTCTCCTTTCCCCCCCTGGACCTTTGCCTCCAGCCCATGAATTTCTGGGGCGCTGCCGGGAAATTCCTGACCAAGCGCAGCAGCGCAGCGGTTGCTGCCCAGAGGTTGGAGAGATGAGGACGGGAAAATGTAAAAAATCAGGAAATGGATCATGTTGGCTTGGGAACGGGAACCATGTCCACCTAAATCCCTATCTATCCGATATCCTATCTCGCATCAGGCCATGTCTGAATGGTCTCCAAGAACCAAACATCGGTACCAGGGCACCTGCAGTACGGTGTCATCGGCTTCTTCGGCTTCGACCGCCAGCATTGGAGCGGCCACAGGGAATTCCTGGCCAAGCAGCTTCTTCGGGCTTCGGACCTCCCCCACGCGAGATCGGGGACCAGCACGTCGGGTGAGAAAACGACCCCGCAATCTGCAGACACCCTTTCGACAACAAATAAACAAGAGGCATGACATGGTATAACTAAAATCATTGTTCAATATCTTCTGGTTGGTGTTTTCACTTGAAAAATAAGTCAGAGGGTCCAATCATCCCCAAGTAAGGGTTGAAAAGAAACATGTCAGAAACCATCAACTAGTCTTGTTTCTCAGGTGTCTCGGTGCTTTGCATGGTGACACCTGCAGCTTGTCGTTTGCTTCTGCCGGTCAGGACACAACGTTGTGTAACACTTCGGTCTGCCACAAGTTAACTGGCGCCAAACGTCTGCAGCAACTCTGACGTCGTGGTGTCTGTCATGCATGGCACAAAGCCCCAAAGGCAACGAGTTTTTAGAAACAGCTATTGACGCTGTGATTTTGCACGCGCATGGCTTACGCCTATTGTCCATAGACTAGAATCACATAGAATAACTAAGTACAAACATTGATGTCTACTTCCAGGCGCCTCCAGAGTGTTGGTTGCTTCCTTTGAAGCAACACGTTCGGCAATTGTCTCCGGCTTTTCCTAGCCAAAGAGGGTCCATCATGCCAAGGTACTGGCGACAATACTATGCAAACTCTTGTCATTCTGCAAAGCTGTGGGGTGTTTGGGTTGCTCACGCACTCTCTCATTTGCTCTACGCCTCTAAGCATTCGTAGGTCGTTTCCTTTCACAGAAATCCCGCACCTCAACAACCTGGTCGCTTTCCTTTGAGATAGCAATCCGAGGAGCACCACTTTGCGCAGAAAGTGCCTCATGGCCCACGCAAAAAAATATCACCGAACTGTGGCAACTGGACTGAACCATAAGAAGAATCTTCCCAGGGTCAGCATGTCTGCTCTCGTATAGAGTGGCAAAGGCGATACATCTTCAATCTTATGTCCGGGCTTCTGTATTTCAATGTCACACTCCAAAAGAACAACAGTTCTTCGCTGTTCCTTCGCATGGAGTCACCTACTGTAACATCTGGTAAGAAATAGCTGCCCAATGCAAAAACTCTTGTCAGGTGCCTCCAGAGTGTTGGTTGCTTCCTTTGAAGCAACACGTTCGGCAATTGTCTCCGGCTTTTCCTAGCCAAAGAGGGTCCATCATGCCAAGGTAGTGGAGACAATACTATGCAAACTCTTGTCATTCTGCAAAGCTGTGGGGTGTTTGGGTTGCTCCCGCACTCTCTCATTTGCTCTACGCCTCTAAGCATTCGTAAGTCGTTTCCTTTCACAGAAATCCCGCACCTCAACAACCTGGTCGCTTTCCTTTGAGATAGCAATCCGAGGAGCACCACTTTGCGCAGAAAGTGCCTCATGGCCCACGCAAAAAAATATCACCGAACTGTGGCAACTGGACTGAACCATAAGAAGAATCTTCCCAGGGTCAGCATGTCTGCTCTCGTATAGAGTGGCAAAGGCGATACATCTTCAATCTTATGTCCGGGCTTCTGTATTTCAATGCCACACTCCAAAAGAACAACAGTTCTTCGCTGTTCCTTCGCATGGAGTCACCTACTGTAACATCTGGTAAGAAATATCTGCTCAATGCAAAAACTCTTGTCAGGTGCCTCCAGAGTGTTGGTTGCTTCCTTTGAAGCAACACGTTCGGCAATTGTCTCCGGCTTTTCCTAGCCAAAGAGCGTCCATCATGCCAAGGTAGTGGAGACAATACTATGCAAACTCTTGTCATTCTGCAAAGCTGTGGGGTGTTTGGGTTGCTCACGCACTCTCTCATTTGCTCTACGCCTCTAAGCATTCGTAAGTCGTTTCCTTTCACAGAAATCCCGCACCTCAACAACGTGGTCGCTTTCCTTTGAGATAGCGATCCGAGGAGCACCACTTTGCGCAGAAAGTGCCTCACGGCCCATGTCAACAGTCAGAGCTTTCTCGTGTTGACCCACAAATTCTGCATCACTTGCAAACCCAAGAGCCTATGGAGCAAATGTAGATAGATCATGGATTATTATTGGTGAAACGTGAACCTGCATGGGACATCTTTAGGGAACCTCTGGATGTCAGGACTCACACATGTTTCCACTACACAAGCTCGCAAGTTTCAAAATGTATTTCCATTTGAAGCCGGCTCAACATCCTTCTTGCAAACGGTTTCTTGCCAGGTGCCTCTGATACCTTGATCTGTGTCTCGGCCCTTTCAGAGGCAAGCTTAGAACTGGTCGAAACCTGAACCGGCGCCACCGGGGCAGCTTCTTGGGATGTTCAAGGGGTCCTGATGGTTCCTGCACACGGTCTCGCCGTGACCCCTTAGATGCTCCTAGTAGATTGTACATATAATACCAGGACCCTCCTGTCGGGGTGTCTATGTAAATAGCCCCAAACAGCTGTGATTTGGGGTGTCCATGTCTACCACCCCGGTCCTGGGGGTCCTGGTAGTCCTGTTCTTTGCAGTGTGACTTCGCACTGAAACAGTGATGCCCAAGTCAGTGGACGCATGTCGCCAAGTCGTCACAGCGAGGTCCCGAGCGAAGTCCTCTGGTGTCAATCATTCTAAAGGCTTCAGAACCACAATCGAGATGGGCAGTACCCAGAACTATCCAAAGCCCAAGAAAAGGTCGAAAACACAGCAAAACTGGCCTTTTCCGATCTCTGGTATGGCTGGAATGGTGGGGACCAAGGGCCAAAACGGCCAAATACCACCCTTTCTCCGCCGCCCGCCCCGACCGCCGCCCGGGCGACCAAATCATCGTGGCAGCTTCGGAACTGATGGAAAACAGCGCGTTTTGGTCTTGCCGATTCCCGATGTCTTTTCATCTTTTTTCGAGAATGTTCAACACGGATAAAGGCCTATATATAGACATGTACAGTATATATACAAGATATGTCATCAAAATCATAATATGTCTGTGCAGCCAGTCTTTCGACCACTTTTGTGAGGTCCAGTGAAGACTTTTCTGGAAACAGTCTTGAACACCTACCAGTAGTATCAGCCAGTCTCATCTGCAAAAGGGGAACCCCCAATAATTTCTGTATGACGTGCTTCGAAAAGTCCTTTCCCTCGTGCTTCTTCGGAACCCAGAAAAATAAATGAACAACCACTCGTCATTTGCTGTTCCCCTCGCCTCCACAGGCTGACGTGGCGCAGGTGGCAAAGTCTTTAGGCTTGGAGGGCCCAAGCTCAAAGACTTCGAGGCATCATCCTCACAACAAGGACAGGCGTTTTCGGTTTCGGAGGCTGAAGTGAAGTGTGTTTTCAACAACCCCTGGTTTGGAATAGGTCATGTTGTGGGAAGTGGTTAAGACTCAGAAAGTGGGATTGCTAGTTAGTTTCGCTTTGCCAACTTTTTCTACATGTCCATGTTTAAGTGGGGGAATTCTTTCTTCACCAAGTTTCTTCATATTCGCACGAATACCAGTGTACAAGTCATTCAAAGTTGAACGCAATTCAGAATTGGCAGGCCACTTGGGAAGCTCACAAACAGAACTTGATGGGCAGTGGTGCAAAATGACTACGAGGTAGAAAGGTACCAAACTGTTGGAAAACGATAGGGTATCAAAGAAAAAAAAAGCACCACCCCCAATGACCTAAGCGGTATCAATCTTAAAAGAGTTTTTGACCACTCAGGTGGACAGCAATTCTGTACAGCAGGCGTTCAACATGGTGATGTTGGAACGGTTGGCGGAGCATTCGTGTGGGGAGCAGCACTGTGGCAGCGTGAAGGCAGACCGATCCCATTGGATGGTCGTTGGGGTTACATGGTCAACTGCCGAAGGACCCAGAAACGTGACAGAACATGGTATGGTTGTGTATATGGTTTATGTAGGTGCGTTTTTTTAAGGCATCGTTGAGGTGTCGTATGTTCCAACACAGCAAACGTTTGCCTAATTATTACATTGTTGGCGGTCAACGAGAGTACCAAAATGAACATGAGGCATTTGCTACCAGGTCTGCGACCAACCTGTGGTTGGACATTGAGATGGATGACAGGTGTCCAGGCTTGCTGACAGAGATTGGGCACAAAACTACAAAACAAGAATAACACCGGCTGAGTTATAGCGAATGAACGTAGGCTATTGTCTTTTTGGACCCAATCGTTTTGCAACGATTTGCGAGCATTAACAATGAGCAATTTATGACCGCCATGACAACCATTCCTAACATCAACATGCGTAGGCTTCGAATGGTGCTACTTCTTCAGTCTCTTGGGAGTGACTGTCATGGAAATCCGATGACAATCATGACACGGCAAGTGAGTCTGGTACACCGGCAGAAGTGCTCTGGTAGGCGGGGAAAGACACCTTTCAGCACCCTTCGGCCTCACGTTGGGGAATTCTCGCTGGTCGTTGAGACCGTGGTTACGCAGTCCATGGTCGTCGTCGTTTTTCGGGACCGCCGTCGATGGTTTCCGCTGGTTGGTTTCTTTGTTTCTGTGGTCCTCGAGCAAAAAGACACTTTATAGCAATATGTATGTATAGAATGCAAAAACAACAACAATATAGTCAGAATTTGGAATGAGCCACGTGTCTTTTCTGCTCAATGCATGGATCCGGTTTCTCACCATCCCGGCCACTTGGCCTGCCTGCGCCTCACTGAGACCGGCGGCCTCCGCGTCCGGGCCGCAGAAGATGGGCGCTGGGAAGGGCGAATCTCTCAAGGGAGGCGGCCTAGGAGCGCAAAGGATGACCAGCCTGCAAAAGCATCTCGTGTGTCACAATTACTACTGTAAGTAATATATATATATATGTGCACATATGAAGACCTACAACCCCATCCGGTGATGGCCGTCGAATCTGACTTCTGAAGCTGAGCGACGCAAAAAAATAACAATACAATACTGTGTATATATAACTGTGTATATATATATATGCATGCATGCATAGTATGGTATAATTTGGATTGATAAAGGCTTCACACAAAATGTGACAGAATCTATATTGATTCTTGAGTGAACATTATCAAATTTCTCATTTGTCCGGTGATCCATTTCTGACATTCGACGGCTTGAGAGGCACACCATGGATATTTTGAGAGGCACACAATCTCCAAGACATATTCATATTGGAAATCTGTGTAATTAGATCCGTGTAGATTTTGAGGGCCGCTAGATGATTGAACACCATCCATACACCTATAGATTGAGTTTAATCATGTGGATTCATTTGGGGTGTCAACATGTGTCAACAAATGGTTGCCAAACAACAAAGACCAGCTGGAAAATCCATCTAAGCCAGTGATAAAAAAAAGAACACACTCTTGTACACAGTGATAACCTGCCTGATCTTGCATGATCTTGCATGTCTGGCATGTGTTATTTCCCTTCCCAGTGGTAGTCACACTATATAGGGGTTCTTAATGGTTAAGGGCCAGGGCCGGGGTCTAAGGGCTGGTGTTGCATCGGATCACAGGTGAACAACACCGCTGTGGAAGGGCTGCCTCTGAAAGTAGGGGACCTGCTATCGTAGAGACCTGCTATCGTCTCGTCTTATCTGAGGCTGGGGAATGTAAGCAGGAAACCTTAGTTGACTTCCCACGGAAGGTCAACCTACCGGAGATTAGGGCTCCGGGTTTCGACCCACAGCCATATTCGACTCGATAGACCTGTCGAAAGCTCGGGTCTGACGACGGAGGGGTCAGGGAACATCAGCAAACCTCGACCAGTTCCAATCATTCCAATCCCCTTCTTTACTATGCCCGATAGATGTGTACATTTCGGATAGTTACCAAAGAGCGGTTGAATCCACCAATAAGGGATTGGACTGGCCAAGACCCCAAAGGTAGAGCTCAACCGCACACGTTTCATCATGGCATTCCAGGGCCCGAAGCAGTCCATGATATTCTATACATCAATGAACTAATCTACAGGAAACTGGTGTTTTCACCCACCAAACTAAGGTTTCCTGTCGATTTTGCCTGATGCCCGGTCGCCACGCTCATAGCCCATCCAATGAACAGCAACCGTCCCGTCCGTCCCTCATAAACCCAGCGGCGGTCGCAGCAAACGGGGTGGTGCGTTGTCTAGCTCGGCCTGCTTCGAGACCTTGTCACATGCGTCCAAAACACAAGAGGCAACACTCCGGACAACAGCAGCGATTGGGTGTATACCATTCCCTGTAACAGTTTGTAAAGGCCTTTCTCAAAAATACTCTATTATTGACTCTTCATCAATACAACATAATAAAACAATCCGTGTAGAAAAGGTATTTACAATCCAAATGGTGGGATTCAATCAATAGTAGTCTACATTAGCCCATGTTAGCCCACTTGATCACAGATCAGGTCACTAATCATCTTCCCCCTCCTGTTTCCAAGCCACAGAGCTCACCGCTGAAACCAAGTCATCGCTGGTCCGGCTACCTGGGCGGACCCCTTGAGTCCCTTTTGAGATGGCTTTGACACTCCATGGACTCTTCCCAGCATGGTTTGAAAGGTCATTTTCCCGGGAAAATGCCAGTGTGGATGAGCACAACAATTTACAAAGATCGGCGGGGACTACCACCGGTAAATTCTGAAGATTTCTTGGCCTCTTTTGCAAGGCCCGCAAGGCTTGGCAAGGCTTGGCCGCAGGGCCCCGGCTGATGAACTCATCGATGCTCCAAATGAAACAACAAGGAGCATGATCGAGGTGCGACCATGACACACACATATACATATATATATATAATACTTATCCGTTTGAAAATAGTACCATCACTTGATGTTTTAATCGAATTGAATGTTCAAGGGGTAGGGCGACGTGACTCCTGTCCCATTCCCCCACAATGAGTCGGATGACATGCTTTGATCTCTTTCTTCTTAAACTCGTTTAAGAAACATCTTGAAAGCAACCCAAATTTATGCAACAAAAACAACTTCAATCGATAATCTGTAACCAGCAAAATTGAATATGACCCATGACTCATCTGCCAAGCTGCCACTATTGCTGGCCACATCTGTCTTAGGAGCTTGAGATGATGCTTGCCCTGGGAGCGGAGCCAATCGGGGCGGCAAAGCGCTTGGCCGCGCTGCGACGGGTGCAACACCGGGCGTCGACTCTGGAGGCAGCGTGGAGGCGGAGGCGTTCGGGGCTTTGGGCAAGCTCAAGGGTGGCTTCATGCCATGGCAAACGCTGGAGGTCAAGACAGCATCTTTTGATCATCTTTTGAGAACGCTGGAGGTCACGGCTTTTGGTGAATGTCAAGGTATACATTCATCTTACACTTTGACTATCTTTGACTCAAGGATTTGGGGTGGGTCCCTTGCTCGGAGAAGACTGTACCCCCCCATACGTGTATCAGCTTCTTAATGATGGAGAAACCATTTGAGATGTCAAATGGAAAACAGTTAAAGTACAAGGGTCAAGAGTCTCTGCGTGCTTCTGAATTTCACCTGAATGCTCAGACTCGAGCCTGACTGCGCAGGCAAGGACTGGCCCATCTCACACAGTGCTTTTGAGGATTGGAGAGGCAAAGTTGTTCAGGGCGGAAACACCGGCGATGCAACACCCAAAGGAGGCGATCAGATTCGACCAATTCGCAGCAAATTCGACCAACGACGATCTTGAACTTGACACCACCTCAGATTGGAGAAGACAATAGTTATAAAATCACTGTTGCCGTCGCAACCCATCGCAAACCCTGGCGTCTTTTAGCGGGACACAAGAAAAGCAGCTCCGGAAGTTTGGCCCTTTCCTGGAGGTCGATGTTCAAATCAGTTTGGCTACTTTAATGGAGCATCCAACTGGGTAAACAAACTGGTAGGATGCATGATTGGATGATCTCTTTTGGACCGTGAGTTGTCCCGTGTCCCGTGTCCGGCGCGTTGCGCCGCGTTGCGCCCTTTTCCGGTGACCCGGCGACTTGCTCCGCTGGTTCGCGTTGGAGGACCGGCACGGTCGACCCAAAGGCGGCAGTCATTTCTTTGGAGGACCCGTGGGTTGCGGGCATTGTTCGGGTCCACGTAGGGTCAAAGTGAATTTGGAAATGCTGCAAGTCAGTAGCTATAGAGTCATTGTGGTGGTCGCTGTCACAGATGGAAACTTGATGAAACTTGACAAACGCTATTTTGGCCAAGTCACTTGAGCCAAAACATTCGTTGGTTCAAACCTATGGCAGTAATGAATACATGTTCACCCAAGCCTGCCAGACCTGAAACATGTTTAGAAAACATAGCAGTAGATTGATGCACATGTGCAATGTGTTGACAATAGAGATGCTAGCCAACAGGCTGTCAGACCTTGCGCGTGACGATGTGGATGTAGATCTGACGGACATGCAATGTCTGGGATCATCCAAGTCTAGCCCCTTTGCAACACACCTAGTCTTACATTGCTATTCAGCGCAGCCATCTGAGCCATCCATAGCACCATCCCCAAGAATCGCGGAACCCGATCAATATTTAATGCAAATGGAAGTGCAAACGGATGATACTCTCTTTTGGCTTTTGATTCCATATATGTTCCGCAAGTCGATTGGAATGCATCCTCTGTAGACCTTTCTCTTTAAACAACCGATCACCAAGCTCCTGAGGGCCAATCGATCCCAGTGCCTTCGTTACGGACCGTCTATGTTGAATGTAATCAGTCTGAATACAGTGGTTACCACAGGCATCCAAAACCTTATCCAAAAACATCAGAAGATCTGATTTCGACCTAGTGTCGAAACCTGGCTACCAATCTACGTCTGAACACTCGCCTTTTCGATTCATTTTCGGGGCGGGGCCACCTCCTCAAGGCCACAGGGATCAAAGTCCTTCTCCTCATCTAACTGTTGGACCTGAACGGCAACAGCGCCGCGCGGCGCCGCGACCACTGAGGAGAAGGACTGGCAGGACTGGGTGACTATCTGAAGACGGACGAGCGAAGACGGGGGGGACGAGGCGAGTATGAAACAAAAGTCACTTCAATTTGGGTTGTTTGAGGCCGAGAGGTTCAAATCATGTTACTATATATTGTATTATATAGATTAGATTAGAGGTTGAGACTCGAGACAAACCTTGCTACATGCATTCACATGATCATTCATGCTTGTCACAGCCACCGTAGGAGTGTCAAATTGTTGCTTTGGTTGGTCCGGTGTTGCTGCTGGTTCGATGTCTACGGAGTAGTCGTCATGTGTCGTCATCTCAGTCGTAGCAGTCGTCGTTGTAGTGACAGTGATAACTAGTACAGTATAGTGAGTGGTTTGAAGTGGGGCAATCATATATATGTTCCAGCCCCAGCTGTATGTTATTGTCGTTGTTGCTGCTGTTGGTTTTCTGTTCTGTAGTTGTTGCTGTTCTGGGTCACTCTACTGACTCCGAGTGACTGGGTTTAGTTGGTCCCCGTTGAACGCTCTTTGAGCAGATCGGTTCTTTTGAGGCTGAGTGGATCCAATGCCGTGTCAGAATTGAGGAAGTAGTTCGTTGACCAGCACTACTGGAACAGAACGAGGTCCTTTCGAAGTCCCCCCTGAAAGCTGAACAACCGGTGCTTTGGCAAAAAACGATTCGACCTGTCTGCATGTCTTACACAGTTCTTATTCACTTCATGTCCACACCCTGGAAGATGGATCTTGAACACCATGCAGTTTGTTGAAGCCGTTAATGATCCAAACTTCAAGTCCGGTGTTTTCCTCATGTTTTCTTGTGCATTTCCTAGTCCCCCTGGCAAAGGTGGTGACATGTTTTTCCCTTTCGGGAAGAACATTCATATGGACTCCAGTGAACGACCAGTGATGACCATGGACCAACCAACGTCATTGTTCCACTGAGACGTCCCACCTCAAACAACTCCGAGTCATGAAGCTTCACGAAGAAGTTCCAGGAAAAGGGTCGGTTGATGAAGACCTGGCTCACTCAGGTCAGTCAACCCGGCTCAAGGGCGAGGTCATGTCACCCACGCAGGTCATGGCCCCAGATTCTGGGAGATGAAGACGCACCGTTTTTTGCATTTCTAGGTGCTCCCCGTATATTTCCACAATAAACATCGATGCTGTGCGGAAGGTGGATGATTTTACAGTGCTCGGTTCCGCCTGAACATGTCCAACATAGGGAATGAGTCGGAAACTTGTCTGCTGCGCCGACATCCTTGACCAGTCAGGAGGCTTTTGAAGTGTTCACAAGCTGCTTGCGCATATTCATAAAACCCTTGTGAGGGGAAGAAACAGGAATTGCCAGTCCGAGATGCAGCCAACCCTGGCAGAAAGCTTGGTACTGGCTGACAGTGTCTATCTTGGTTGATAGGTCATGCATAGGGCACGTGTATATATGTACTGTATATACCGTACATATTTTTCTCTATCAACCATCCCCTCTGGCCACGTCTAGCCTCTTCGGATGACCGACCCTTCTCCGACCAAAGTGTGACCGGCGCACGGAATAGATCACCGTCTCAGGAGAACAGAAGCGATCCCAGGTCCAAAGGAGCAGGTCGTGGGTCTCCTGCGTGGAATTCTCTGCGGACGCCGGCTGGTGACGACGTCGTCATGTAGTGTGGTAGTCGTGGTCACATCAGTGGGGACCAAAACGACCCTGTCGGCTGCTGGTGTTTCTTGGACAAGAGACTCCAGCAGTGCGTGTGTAGCGGCATTCATGTTCAGGAAGGCACTGTGACTTTCATTTTGCAAAGCCATCAAACCATGGCCATCTACAATTCCTCACGAACCGTGAGCTTTTCCAGATCTCTTCTTTGTTGGAATCTGGAACTACAAGTATCACCCAACCCTGCCGCGGAAGCAACAAGCTACCGGAACCATCCAAAAGGTCCTCAATCAACTACCATGCACCATAGAATACTTTTACTTGTGGACGATGTGGTCTAATTCCATAAGCTCCGGTAAAAACAATCCTTGGAAGGTCCAGGTATTGACATTATATATAATATATAAAGATATATATATATATATATGGTGACCCCCCTAAGATCTACCTTTTTGATGTGATTTTAATACCTTGGTGTCAAATGTGCGGGGAGGAGCATATATAAGCGGCGAGTGGCAGCCTGCATGACTATCAGACTTCATGAAAGCATCCGACATTCCCGATGTACAGATTCTTCTTCTTGGGACCCACAATTCCTGGTAGAAAGGACTGCTGGTGGACATTTCATCTGCTACTTCAGGACATAACGTGACTCCAAGTGTTTCTGTCTATTCATCTATTCCTACTCACATTCAACTCCTTTCCAAACATTCAAATCCTCCGTGGGTTGTTATATAAATGTAAGTACGTTGTTGTAGCCATTGATCAGGCATGATACACGCTTTGGATTCTTTTCAGGAGGTGTCATCCAACCAGAGATGGCCCTTTTGGGGATAGTTTGTTGACTTCCAACGGATGTCTCAATGCCACCGGACCACGGTCCGGCTCGTGCCAGGTTCCATGGTGGCCGGTGCTTATAGAGTCGATCCAAATTGTTAGAGACGAGATACACTCCTTGAAGTAAAGCGAAGTACTCATCTGCTTGTACGTGGCTGGAAATGTTATTATTTACATGCCGATACACTGATTCCAACTAATTAATCATGGTTACGCGGATGGCATGGCCCCAAAAAGGATGACCATTGGCTGAATACCCCAACAGGTTGGTGAACTCCACTGTGCAGTATGTCATCTTCTCAGTCAGGTACAGTATCTACATGTATCTACACTGGATTTTGAAACCAAAGGTGTTTAAGAAAGAAAAAACACATCGAGCGCCAAACTGAAAAAGCTCGAACGGATCTAAAGATAAATTTTTAGCCAGCTCTACACCTATTCAAATATTCTGTTCATGTTCGGTGATTGAGCACATACCAACACCCCGGTACCCCTGAAAGGGAAAGGCTGTTGGGTGGCGAACCTGCTGGGCAAGTATCGATGATCGGTGGTCAACCGGGGTTCCCTGTTGCCATCATCCACAGCTCTTGTTTGCACACTGTTTATATCTCTTTGGGGACGACACGCAGGGAACGCATGATGCGTGGCGTGATCTTCTTTTCGGAGTCCCCGCTGAGCTTTCCGACCCAATGTTTCGCGCTATGTACACATGGGTGTGAGGACTGTCTTGAATCTTGCTTCATAAATCCAACTCCACATGTCTATGATTCAGGGATTCCCTGTGTTCCCAAAGCGGGCTCCAGTCGCCCACACCCATGATTGGGTCGCACAGTCCCCAGAAGTCAAGCAATAATCTCGCACCTTGGCAGCGTACGTCCACAGCCCGTGGCTGTTTAGAGGCAGATGATCATGCCAACCCAGCAAAGGGTTGAGGGTGTTCTCAGTGTTTGCGTATAGTGGTCCCCAACTAGATAGACATAGATTCCAATACAAACTTTAGTATATAGTGGGATGTAGTGGGGATTTACTTCTCTATCCATGTGGGGGTCTATCTATCTACAGATATACATACGTATATATGTATATGTGTGTTTTCAAGTTCTGGATTCTTGTATTTTGCTTCTTACAAACTTCATGACCAATTCCTCGGAATCGATTCAACAAAGACCTGAAACCTCGCCGGTTAAGACATCCGAAGGTCCTGGTTCAGTGAGTCAGAGTCATGTTTGGATTGGTCAAATCTCGTCTTCCTTAGTTTATCAGCTGGGATTCTAGAGGTACTTATACCTGGAACCCAGTCCTGACCCCTGTTTGATAGGAAGTTGGACCATATTTTGGGTGGTTGGGGGTCCAAAATAGAGGTCGAGCTCAGGTTCTAGGTATAAATAGGTGTGACGTCAAGTTTTTGTTTGCCTGGAAAACGTTTTTGACATCCGCCCATCACTCCAAGGTCGTGGCTCACTATCGGATCCCGGTGCACCTGCAAGCAAGCAAGGTTTCTTGGGACGCGTAGGACGATTTGTTGTTGAACACCAGGCTCTCTAGACAAGCTAAACAAGCTAGGCTCTTGCGAGATCCGAAAAAGCCCTAGACCATGCTGCTCCCCACAGTGGGCCCCACAAGAAGCCACACACAGCACAGTCCAGAAGCACAAAGACGGACCTTCCCACAACCTGAAGAGTGCTGTGCCATGCTGTGCCTTCCGCCTTCAGGCGAGGCCGCTTGGCAGGAGGCTCAGCGCCACCGGGTACCTGGCACCGGACATAAAAACAACCAAGAACCACAGCTGTGGATCCGGCTGTGCCCGTTTCTCTCCCCGGTCGTCTAGTCTGTTCTGTGGGAAAAACCAGGGTCCGCCAGTGCCAGGGACCGATCCCATTTGGGCGCCCATCAGATCGGAAGAGGTCCGACGAGGTACCGACCAAGGCATGCGGTCCATGCGGCATGTGCGCATCTAGCGCATGGTACCGGGGTCCAACACGTTCCAACACGTTCCAACTGCCTCAGAAGGTACCCAAAGACCCTCCAAGCTGCATCCCGGTGTGTTGATCCAAATTCTTTATGCATTATATAGTCAATTATATATAGTGGATTATAGTGGTGCCCAAATAGATAAGCACGATTTCCGATACATGTTCAGTGGGGATCTACTTTTCAATCTCTTTGGGGGGTCAGGAGACCGGCGATGCCACGCGGGCCGCACATCTTCTCCTTGCCTCGGCGGGTTCCTCGAAGTGGCGATTCACATGTGCATCAGCACTGGCCTTGGCCCGGATGGCACACATGGTGATGTCATTTCGCAGGAAGTTCTTAGCTTTCATGTCACGGAATCACATCTTGCGAACATCCAGTAGAAACCCAGCGCCTAAATTATCATGCATGATTCAAAAGAAAAACATCTATACCCAGAAGATCCCAAAAAACGGCAGACACTTTTGCCCTATATATTATAGGTATCATGCATCATGTTTCCGCCTCCACCGCTCCATCTGTCGCCCCCGACCGGATCGAGGACTTGCATGCAAACCGGGCATGTCACGGTGGGTCGTGTGGAGTCGAGGTCCACGTCGTCCACGTCGATGGCCTGGGCAGGCTGAGGTTTCGGACCCCTACCGTAGTCGGGTGAGTTGGAAAAGACATGCGTTCTAGAAGTTTCATCAGATCTTTGGGAATGGTGTTGAAACATACACTCTGACTAACATGGAAGTGGAACATCCTCTGTATCGTCCAAGAAAGTAGACGTCCGCGATTGTCCACTTCCGTGTCAAGTGAGTCAGAGTGTAGAAAGCAACACATGCAAAGAAAGGGCGAACACTTTTCAGGAGCAGCTAACGAGTTGGCTGGCTTCGACATACTTTTGATACTTGAAGAAGGACCTCAAAGCGATGGAATAGGTTAGGGAATGGTCATTCCATAGCAAGCACTGGCACATTCTCAAAACTTAGAACCGGTTCGCTTGTTCAAAGAGGGGCAACATTGCCCGATGGTTGACAGAAGCTAGAAGTCCAACAGGCATGGCAGCACCTGCCTGCCACGCATGACTAATCACAATGTGAGACAGTGAGACTATGCCGCAGCCATCAAAACGAGTAGAGATTCTTTAGACTTCTCCAACATCGAGCCTGCTGGGCCACACAAGCACGATAGCAAACAGGCCCAACAATCCCCCCCACTATCCCAAGACTTGGAAAGACTTAACGTTCGGGCCAGTTCTGTATGAGGGAAATGAAAAGGAGAACCTCTTTCAAGAACATGTGCAATTCAAGCACTCCATTGATTCGATGGTATTCTTGAGGAAGGACACACTGCATCTCCTCACGCTGCAAAAAAGAACAACCCCTGTACCTAAGAAACCTTGGACGACCCTCGAACACATCCGGCCTGCTTGCTCTCAGGCCTTCGCAGCCACCTGGACCAGCTTCGGAGTGACATGTGAGTCAACGACCAGCAAGTCATGCAGAGCATCGAAGCCGTCTTTCGGAGTGACCGAAAGCGTGGGCTGTCAGACCCCGGAGTGAAAAATCACCAGACCCCGGGCTGTCAGAATGCGGCTGAAGAGTCGATTGACATGAGCAGCTTTGTGCTTGCTGCTGTTTCATGCCATTTTAACTAGCAGTAATAAGTATATATAGTAACTTGTTCAACCACTGGGTTTCAAAGGACAAGCTGGGAAGCGCACCTGCCATCACTCACAGCTGTTGCACTCAAGTCCAGAATCGGATTTGTGTGACACCCCCGAAAAGGACCAAAACACATGTTGACATGTTCCGAACATCTTTTGAGTCAGCACGAGTTGATGAAGAACCCAACAACAGCTTTGTTGACAGTGACAGTCAGCTCCCACTGCTCTGAAAACACAAGTCTGACTGCCTGGCAATGCCGCTTGCTTCGCTGTGAGCCTTCTTTGGGCTCCCTCAGGCGACTTCGTGGGGAACAAAGACTCCAAAACACTTCAACTCTGGTATGACCAGGGCTTGCTCCGGAGCATCTCCTGCGATGATCTCTGTGGAGAGGGTGTGTCCCCACCAAACTCCTTCATCAACATTTTCACCAAATGGTTCCCTACAAGCATAATTGTATATGTAATTAATATATTCATAGATTACAACTACTATAATTTATAGTACTAATCACCATCATAAAAGATTAACTAAGCTTGCGGCTGGATGACGCCGAGGGTGTCTCACCTCGCGGACAAGTAAGGGGATGAGGCATGGTTTACTAGAATCGTTCCAATGCTTATGGGATATATCAAGGGGAATCTTATGACCTTAAGGGTGTGATCAGCATGGAACATACGATCATATATGAAAAGGAACAAATTATTGTCCATGCATCCGTTCTATACATGTTCCCTTCAAGTTTGGAGCGGCTCCCTGTGCGTCCAAGTCTTGTAAATGGTCGGGATGAAAATAAAGCATGAACCCCTGCAGGTCAAAGACCTCATGTTACTGGAGTTTAACAAGGAAAAGAAGACTTAAAATGCTTTGCTCAATGAAGTAAAGGGCTAGGTTTGCTGGGCCTTTGGACCTGTAGGGAACTAATTGTTCATTAATCCACGGTCTACATTACTGATGATAAATATGATAACCAGTCGGGACGCTTGGATCTCCCAAATCTCACCACCTCAGGTCTCACCATACGGGCTGCGACCACGTCTGGGAAAGAACCCAAGCAGAAGAGTCCAACCAACCGTTCATCTTCAAGCAAACGAAGGTAAAAAAACAAATAAACACGGGCGTGTCTCGGAATTGTTTTACCGTATTGTACCCCTCCACAAGTGGCAGCAAAGTATGCCACAAGTGGATGAACCATCCATGGGTCTGACCCAGCTGCCAATGTCTAACACCACATCGACCAATGGGTTTGTGCGTTAAGAGACCTGCGTTAAGAGACCTGGAAAGAACCAAGTAGACTAAACCGCCATGGATTTGGGGATGTTCTCCGTTCGAAGACACACCCAAATCCCATCTACTCCCATGATCGGCGCCTGAACCTAAGCGGGCCGCAAGCCCCATTCCTCTCAGCCGTACCTTTCTTCGAACGAAGCCTGATCATTCATAGTGGGGCTGTGTCAAGCATGATCCCACCCGGTGTCATTCGCGTGTTTCAGAACTCCTTCCACCTAGGTGAGCCAAATGGTTTCAGGGTCAGGGTACTTTTTGGCCTCCCAGTGAGGATTGGGAGCCCCTCTCATTATTTTGAGACACCCATCCTCTCTCCGATTGAAAGCAATACAGAATCCGGCCCCAGCCGAGTCTTGCTTAGGCAATGCTTCTGCGAAGCACAAAGAGGGGTGCGCCCCTAGCCGCCCTGTCGGCACCTACCAAACCCCTGCGTTTTACGGCGTGTTTCGTGGGGCCCCTGGCCGGCTGGCTCGCGGCCAAAGCCCTTAAATACAAAACAAACAACAATCACAAACACTACCTCTGATTCCCATAAATTCGCGCTCACACCCCCAAATTTGCCAATGATAGGCTTTGATGCGCAGCTAAATAGCCAACACCGCTCACTGCGCCGGCTCTCAAGGCACTGGGTCTGGAGACAAGCTGTCGAACAGCTGCAGGGCAAACCTGTCCAGTAGCGCGTCCAAGGAGACAACCAGACAAAGCGTGCTAGTCGTAAAACAGGTTGGACTTGGTGCAGAAGTTTGTCTTTCATGGCGAGTAGGATTCCAACGAAACACTGTTTTATAACTTGTACTGCTTTTGCGTGTGCTCTTGTCAGATGAGTGCTTTGCTGCTCAATTCGGACAACACCACTTGTGGTCGTTGAAACCCACACGCCGACCCCCACGCCGGCTTCCCGTTGAGCCGAATCGCGGTCTAGGACCGAACGGGCCATCACTTCCGGAGTCCGTGTTCGGAGTCCGTGTGAGCTGGGTGTCAGGTGAGGTCGGTTGACCTCCAAAAATGCCACAAAACAGGTGGATTTGGAATTACTTTTGGACCGTCATGAGGGTTTTTTTCTGTTTTTTCCCCCACGATTGATGCATTGAATTTCTGCTATGTATTCACACTTTTTGGGCCGTGTCCGGGGCCGCAATCCCACCTGGTCCTTCCGCACATTGAGGGCTCTTACATTGTGACAAACAATTGAGTGAACATGTCACTCTTGGCAACGTGCGTCAATACCGGTGTTTGAGGGAGCAGCAATGTAAGAAGAAACACAGTAAAAACAATGTTGTTTGATTCCTAATGCCAAAAGCTCGTGAACACCATTACATACCATGCTTTTCGGCTCGCCGAGGTTCAAACACATTGGTATTTTGGTGGTGTTTTGTCTGCATGGTTCACATGTTTTCCTTTACACAAATATCAACAACAACAACAACAACAACGACGACAACGACCAACAATCAACAACATCTCTGGACACAACAACCCTGATGGCATCGTCAATATCAAATTCCTTTTTGGTCAAGGCATGACGGGTATGATTCATCCCCAGGACCAAACAAGTCCATCACAAACACCTTATATAACAGAAGGTTTGGCCTTGGAGAGCATCTTTGCATCTCTGGAAAGAGATGCCTTTGCATGCTGACCCTTTCATCAGACGTTCATGGCCATGTGACGAGTTTCACACGAGTTTCACAGGTTGGGCCGCGGGCCTCTGCAACATTTGGAGGTCCTTAGGCGCCACTGGAGGGTTGGGGAATATCGGAATATCATCTGAGCAAAATTGGTCGCAGATAGGCCTCAAGAACTCGGCCATCAATGCATTACTTGGTTGCATTCTGATAGAAACATCATGAAACATCTAGAGTATAGTGACAACTCAATGACCAGTTTAAGTCACCAATAGCAGAACGAAACATCTGGAAGTTGCCACCAGAAAAACTCATCTGAAACTCAACTGAAGACCTACTGAGTAATAGCGATGGCGATGCCCCTGTTGCTAGTAGGGATGCCCTTTGCTACTAGTAGCTTCTTGTTCCTTGTAGCAAGGCCAGGGGGCTACTAGTAGCGTCCGAACGCTCCGTTCGTAGCGATGCCCGAAATGCTCCGTTCGTGGCAAAGGAACCTACTAGCGATGGCCTCCAACCCAAGAGCTTCTTCAGGAGCCTCTGGAAGCCTCTGGAAGCCTGGCCACGTGGCCTGGTGGAAGCTGCACCGAGGCGCGCTGGTCAATGGCAGGCTGGAGGAGCGGCTCACGTCGTCACACTGCCCGTGGCCTCCCTTCTTAATGGGCTCAACCTGGAGATGGGATGAACTCGGGGAGGATCGTCAGATGTTCTGTCTGTTCTGTGTTGGTTTTTTGAGATGTTCTGTGGGATGAAAGACTTGGGATACCTCAGACGTCAGATGTTCGGTGGTAACCATGAACTACCTTGAAGTTCCCAGGGTCGAGGCCTCGGTCATGCCTTGCTACCTTGCTACGATTCCAGGCGCTTCAGCCAATCGCTTCGCGTGCAGCGAAGCTTTTCGCTGCCTGCGGCAGGTTTTTTTCTCTGGGCGTGCACTTGTTTTTAAGTCTAGTAGCCTCGAATCAAGTGCAATATATATTCCGGTTTGAGTCTAGCCAGCCTAGAATCTGGTTTGTTCAACATTTATTCTAAAATTAACATATCCGCAATATTTTCCCGCCGTGCGGTTGAGTATATTGAATATAGTCGATGATGCAAGACCGTTTGGTTGGTCGATGCCATAGCATGCAACTTGCATCATGTACTTTGTTGGGAGTTGCAACCACGTGGCCCAGGGCCCTACATGATGATATGTGCTGGTAAATTAGTGGGATAGATGGACTAGTGGGTGTCTATAGCCAAACAAAGTTGCTTTGGATACTGTGTTGCCTTTAGGTTCGTGTATGGATGCATATGTGGCAGGTGCATGTTGTTTCATTAACTGGTGGATGGTTGACAGAATACTAAACGGCCTCTAGTAGTTCCAGCAACAGATCTTAAGTGAGAGCTCCATCGGCTAAAAGCGACGCGATCGATGTTGGTTGGATACCGTTGCCGGCGGTTGAACTAAGCGGGCCAAGGAGAAGGGTGAAAGCATCAGTCCTAGCTCATCCAGAATCCAACCTGCTTGAAGCTTCTGGTCTCTTCACCAAATAACCAACACAAACGCTGAGTCTGTCCTGGACACGGATTTCCTTGCATTCCAGAAAACATCAAGTACACACCCAGGGACGGCACCACTTGAGTCAAGTGGACACCGGACATCAGGCAACCCGGACCCACCCAGGGACGGCAATCTTCAGCTTCAGAGTGAGATGATTCGCTCCTTACTGACGGTGCACAAGAGTGCTACCCCAACCGATGCGAAGAACAAAGGGTGTTCATCCGGTTGCCCAATCTACAAAGAGCGGAGCTGGGACCGAAATTGAGCAAACTCTTCCTTCGGTTGCCAAGTTGCTTTGTTGCTCTGCAGCTATTCTTCTTTGACTAACCCCAGCCCTGTCACCTTTGAGACAGCGACAGCTGCAACATGTTTCACTGAGATCGAAGCGCAAGTTGCAAATGGACAAACGGTCGCAAAGCTGCTTAGCCACCTCAGCGCAAACCCAATAGCTAGATTGACTATCGGATTTAAAACAGTATTCCTCCCAAAGAGATAGAATCTATCACACATATGACATGTTTAAAGCATGCACAAATGGTTTGTATTGGCTTTAGATTGCTCCGTTTAATCTGATGTAAATGAGTCTATCCAACAAACCGCCCATGGAGCAAGTGATGCGTATCGTCAGTCATGGCATGCATATGCATGCATATTGCATGCATGAATTCACGAAAACAAGAACATGGAAGAATCTGGAAAAGAGTACAGGGATTGACAGGGATGTGGTGGTGGGGGTTACAAGCATCCAAGTCTTCAGTTCAGCATGCAAGATTCCTGCCTCAGACAAGATCTTCACCGCTGCAGGTCGGTCTTGGCACCGGATGCCCCAATTCCTGCGAAAGAAACTCGAAAGGAGGAACAGGAGGAACGGAACTTCACGGGCTGGAGAAATTCTATTGTTATGTAGTTATGGCAGGGTTATGGTTAGAGGCAGTATATACCGTAAAAGAATGACATGAAGAAGTCTAACTACTGTACCATAGCATGTGATAGAGGTCCCTAAGGCCCTAAGGTTCGGGAATTCTTCTTTGGAAGCCCACTCCCTTCCTATCTGGGAGGGTCACTCAAATCCATCCAAAAAGACTCAGCACTGCACATATCATGCGAGTAGTGCCTTGTTGACATCGGGTGACGTGCGTATGCGTGCTACACGGGCCAGGTTTGCTGCTGCTCCGCTAAAATATTGTTCTTGATTTTCGGCCACTGTGCTGAAGAGTCTTGGGAACATGCGGATCAAGCTACGAATCGTTTTGAAAGGAACCAATTTGATATGAACATATACTTTGAATTGGCAACGCACATGGATGCGATGTTACTGCCCAGCATGGGAAGCCACACGATTGATGGATCTTGTCGGTGGGTCTAGCAGCTAATTCCGTCCCATGGGAGGTTTCCAAAAAAAACATCGACGTCTGATGATTCTGTCATTCCGATCTCCACAAGGCTGGATCTTGACATTAGTAACAAGAAACTACTAGGGTGGAGGCCATCGCTAATTAGGTTGGAGGTCATTACTACTATATAGTAACAAGAAGCAACATGTATGTCTTGCTACTAGTATGTCTTGACCTCCCTGGCCCAAACCATCGAGCAACATGGTGCCAACGAGAGGCATTTCAGCACTCACGGACCTCGGACTGGTCCGCGTGGACCCGCGCATGGACCCGCGCGTCGACTCGACTGGGACTCAGGTTCCATGAGTCAGTTCCCGTTTGAGGTTCCAGGAGTCTAGACGTTGAAGCCATGCGTGTGCGGTGGCACCAGTGATGCCGTGTGATGTAGAAGCCTTTTGCATGAGTATTTGGCTTGGTTGGCAGGTGATGCATGCATCTGCTGCTTTCGGAATGGGCGTAGCTTGAAGATCTTCTTACGATTCTTTCTAACGCACACATATTTGGACCCTTCATAAATCTATATATATATATAAAAACTACTACCTGACCTCAAGAAACGTATAATAAGAATAGTAGACAGTGGCAGCACCATCACCCATCAACCAAAGAATCAGACGGTTCCACCCACTTCTTGCTTAATTACGTGAATATAGATTGTGAGGAAGCTGCTTCTGTGTATATATAATATACTTACCAGGACCTTCAAAAGTGACCTTTTGATATCCCAGGATGAGGCCACTTAAGCCCGTCAAAGGTGACAAACAGAGACTCCAAAGAGGCCACGTACTGAATGTCCTGTATTGTTTTGTCCCCTGAACGAGCGAAAAAAAACATATATATACTGAGCCCCTCGACTTCCGCTGGGTTGGTACCAAGCTGGTCTCCTGGAGCGCCAAGCTGGTACGGACACCGGTCGATGGGTGGACCGCTTTTTCGTGGGCTCAAGCTGGTCCATCTGGGATTTGCTGGTCCCATCTTGGAAAGAGAAGACTTTATGAACGTATTCCCCAAGATTGCTGGTCCATCTTGGAACATCTTCCCCAGGTTTAAGGATTCACCCAAGCAAAAACGAACAATCACCTGATACACATCTTTCACTAGGTCCATCTTCACCCCAGGTCCAGGTGGTGCTCCCTCGCTCCGAAGAGACGCATCCGACATCGCCGAGGTCTCGTGGTGGTCCACGAAGGCGCGCGAGGCGCGTGCACCGTGCGACGTGCGACAACCATGTCGTGCACCGTGTGTCTGTGTTTATTCATGTGTCTCGGGCATATGGTGATGTGGTTGTTTGCCACGGATCGTCTTGTTGTGAAAAAGCACAGTTTTCGGTCCTTTTTTTGTGCATTGATCGGATCGCACTGATCGCCGTGTGAAAAGCAAGGTGTGATGTGTTTAAAAAATAACAACAAGAAAACACTTGTCGTGAAAAAAATATACACAACATAATATTAATATAATATGCTTCGCAATTATGTGAAAATGTCACAATACATGACATAGCGAACAATCAACATGTCCACCTTGCCCTCGCACACTGTTGTGATTGGATTTGTGGCTACAATCACCTTACCCATAGGCTTCTGCTTTGTATGGATCGCACACACACAATGCCTGGCCTGGAGGACTTAAGGGCTGTGGCATCCCAGATCTTGATAGATCTTGTTGATCTTCCAGTTCTTCCGTCCAGCTTCGTTCAGCCCTCTTTTCTGGTGGATGGAGTTTGCGTTAAAAAAACTCAAAACATCTTAAAACACAACGTTGACGCACAAACGACTGATGCTGTGTGCATCACTTAATTCTGCAAGATCCTGTGTGCATCAGGGAGATTCATGCGTCGTGTGTTGACACCAAATCTTCCACGACTCATGAAATGAATTACACAACTCTTCCACACATCCATCGACACAACACGTCCCACCTCCAACGGCCCGGCCCGGCCGGCCTCCCGCGCGTCCAGCGGGCCGACGCGTCGTGTCGAGATCGGGCCGTCCCGGTCGTCGCCTGGTCCAAGCCCTGGGCGTTGAGCCACAAAGTCTCACCTTTCACACCGAACCTGGGGCGGTCGGAGCGGAGCTGCTGCGGGAGCTGCTGCGCAGAGAGGTGCGACCGGAACCGGAACGGACGAGGGTGTGGGACTGTGGCAGTAGCTGCAGCACCGAGGTTTGTGAAGCCTTTTTCTGGAGAGATGTGGTTGATTTGGGTCAACTTTTGGGTCAACACACTTTCTCTGTTCGGTTAGATCGGCCATCATAGTTCTCAAACATATCATAAGATGAAACAAACAACAAAGATCTTTGTCATGTGAAGTGTGTTTATAACAATTGGCAACAAGTATATATAACATATATACATATACTACAGTATATCATCAGCATGTTTGGAGAAGACTGGAGCCGTCTCTGTCGTTCTTGACCAAGGTGTGGAAGCTGAACAAATGCAAATCCACCACCTGACCAGTCTAGTCTAGAGTCTAGACTTGAGTTTCTATGAGAATGGGGAACCATTTCAAAACGGGTTTGGTCTACTTTTACTCGTCCGGTGGGGTCAAACCGGGAGGAGTCTCCCTATTTCCATACAGATCCACGTCTTTCGATCTCAGTCTCAGTCGTGGTGCTCACCACTGCCTCTGAGACCTGAGTCTCGGACCACTCCCTAAGCCGCTTCTTCCTCAGACGTCGCTGTCGTCGTCTTCCAGGGCGCAGAGGTCGGACCGGGCCGAAGTCTTCGGTTTCGTCGTTCTTCTGACTCATCCGGTGCTTCCACCAGCAGATTCGCTTCATGATGCGAAAGCCAATCATCTGAACGAAACGAATCAGAATGAACTTTGAACGTCGTAACACCTCGTAACCAGATCTCACCTTAGACCTTTTCATGCTAGCGCTAGCGCTAGCGCCGCGTTGCGCGCTGCGTTTTGTCCGAACATGCATGAACATCACAACATACACCGGTGGAACCGGCGAGCTCGGCTGCTCAGCAACATGGCCCCCCCCTTGAAGGATTGCGCGTTAGCAAAACGGAAGGAAACAAGGAACAGATCAGTAGTCTCTCATTTAAGATGGGAAGAAACGTCCCGGGTCCCGGGTCCGGCTGGTGCCAGCCAAAGAAAAAGACCTCCGGGCCCGGGCCCTGGGCAGAGCCAAATCCGAATCAACGGCATCGTCCGGCAATCTAAGGCCCTGTCTCCAGCGCCTGCAGATCGCTACAAGTTTCCAGGCCACGTTCCTGGCAACGTTCAACTGCTTGAGAACGGCCGAAGGGTCTGGGCCTGGGCCGATGTTTGGTGTCATGCAAAGACACAGAAAGCCAAAAGAACTCCTCCGAACCATTTCGGCCACTACAATATACCAGCTTGAAGATTGAAATTAATATGATATGATATGATCATGATATGATGATATACGTCACCCTAGGATACTCGGTATGTAATTAAGGTTTGTATATGTTCGTTGCCCCAAATCAGCATTCGCGGCCGCCGCGGCGGATCGCCGCTTCGCCACGAGAAAGCCCACCGAGGCTTCCACGGAACCGCCGTTCGGTGACAACTTGCAGAGATTCCGTTCGTTTCATAGCACATGGCTAAAACGCGAAAGGAAAGAGTGCGCAGCCCGGACCCAAGATCGTATATTTTTTTGGGGGGTATCGAATGGCTCACATGTGCTGGGAAAGCACAAATCTGGAAGGGACAGCTGAGAATTGCTACGATGCTACGCCAAGAGTGTAGTGCATCTGAAAGCTCCATGATGCGGATGATGCGTGGCGGGAAAAACCTCCTGTCTGCTTCGCCCGGCCTGCAACTTGGCTGTCATGGCACGGCCAACCTGTCGATAACAGCGACGATCAGTGAAGGTTCTGAGACCCACTGGGCCAAGTATGGCAAAACAGTCAGGTCTCCATCCATGTTCATCGATTCCGTCTCATCATGAGGCTATTTGGCCTTCGAAAACACACACCATCCGCATCCTCATGGCAGGTGTGAATCGTGCAAACCAGCTTCACCCCTGACTTTTTTCCTCTTCTTTCGCTTCGTTTCGTCAAGAAAACCCATCGACTCGTCGTCGCGGTGGATCTCCTGGTCCGAGACGCGGTCCAGACCGACCGAAGCTGCCGTGTGGTTCCGTGCCGCCCAGCTGAAGCTGGGCGGACGAAGCTGGGTGGAATTCACCTCCAGGCGCCCTGATATCACTTGATAAAGGCAGGCACAAAGAGATCTGCAGCCTGTCAAAATCAGTCAGCCACTCAGGGGGGCATCTCATCAACACGAGTTAGGAAGCGCATCACACCTGTCAGGCCAACTGGATACTTACGTACAAGTAGTTGCAACTGGATTTGTTTGCGAAGCAAAGGAGTTTGTAGTCGCACTCCATTTGGTGACTAGCCTGACTAGCCGGGCTACTCCAGCTACAGCAGCAGAACAAAAGATGCTGGCTAGACTGGTGGCCACTGGTTTTTTTCCGACCACCCAACAATCTGAGCTGTGGAGTCGCACCTCGGCCGTGGTCACATAAGAGGAGTCAGCCTCCGCACGGTTTTTTTCACTTCCGCTGTGTTTCCAGGGGCTGCAGGCAGGAGAACGATGGTGGGGCACGCGACAGGCGATGAGCAGTGATGACCACTGCTGAATTAAATAGTTTGGTGATTGGATGTTCACTTGAGATTCAATTGTCAAGAAATGCCCGTGTGACTTTGGACTCTTGCCTCGCATGACCTCAAACAGATGTTGGAAGTGGAACACTCCCTCACGCAAATACGAACGCTTGGCAAGACCAACTATCTGACAAGCTTGGCCTGCTCCATGGGTACAGTTGCGATTGTTCAGGGCTCTCCCATTGTTGAAGCTGGTTGATCAAAGAACACCTCATGGCCATGGTATTGATAAGTCATAAGTGGCCAAGCCGGATATCACACCAAGCAACGAACGACCCAAATGGAATCCAAAAGTGTCTTCAAACAAGATGTCTCCGGTTCTACATGTGATGTTGTAATATCCCTAGCATATGGTCTGATTTTACACCAAACGGAGACCCAACTAATCACTACTAGGTGATGCCCAGCAAATAGCCCAAGAGTCTCAGCCCCCCATTTTAGAGTCATCACCTTGCGGGGATCATTCTTTTAAAACAAGATGAGTCCTGGATAGTGCTGGGGACAACTCCATCCAAGCTGAACACACCGCACGACACACCAGACGCCCGCCTCCGGCTTGAGACCCTCAACCCTGACGGGCGTCTCGGACCAACACCACATGACATGACAATTGTTCGGCATGACATGCGCTTGCACAGATCTATAGCCAAGCTCTGCTGACAACTGAAAGCAAATTTATGAAAGTTTATGTTGCTTTTTCCAAAGGTTCACGAGCAAAAGAGGTGTTTGAGTTCTCAAAACCTCCCGGCCGCCAGTCCTGGATCAATGATTTTCCAGTCCCACTGACTTGCCTTGTTCCAGCACGGTTTCCTCCAACCCATTTTTTCCGCCTCGTGAGTCGCAGCTCCCGGAAGAGTGGTGCCAGCTGCTCTTGCAACATCTTCACAGTGGAGGTCCTGTCTGTGACCGTGATGTCCAGTCTGAGACCGTGAGGCTACATGTGCCTGTTGGGCATATTGATGGTATCCACAATACAAACCACTGAACTGTGGACGTAATTATGCCAAAATGCAGGTTCCTACTTAAAGGTATTCTGTGAACATACATCCTCTCATGGCAGCTGCTTTCAATGGAACATATACGCCTATCCCGACTTGCCGGATCCTGACATGTAACATTTATATACTTCACCGACTTTGCTCAAAGGCCATTGCTTGTCTTGAAAGGCGCTACTTGGTCTGTGTGCTGAACCGAAGGTTCAGTTCATTCCCTGCGAGGTGTTCCGTCTTGGTCCACAACCTCTGAAGATCAAGAACTGAAATTGACCCAAAGCCATCTATGCGCCGGTTCTCACGACCTCGTCTCGTCTCGAGGTCTCAAAGCCAGGGAAAAACGTGAGCGAGGAAAAAAACACGTGTTCTCCGATGGGTCCTGTGAGAGATGGCATACTGGACGACGACCCCTCCCAATTTCAAGAGTCGGTAGAACCTGATGCAGGGCCCCCCAATGCGAACCCAACCTGATGAATGGCGGCCAACAAACCGATGCCAACAGTTGAGAACGATTCACACCCGAACACAGAATGGTTCTGTATAACATATCATAATATCATAGTATGTCATGTATACCTAGATCTTCCAATTGTGCAACATCTATGCCTTTTGGTTGGTTTTATCAATGACAATGCAACCATTTTGCTATACATGAGGTACTGTCAACATTTAATATAATTAGATATATGTGATATCATGATATATTATGTGTATTTATGTGTGGCATTGTATGGCTATTGCATCGTCATACTTGTGAGTCCCCTATCGTTTCCCACTGTTTTTGGAACCTTGTTAAAGGGTATCGCATTTTTGTGAGTCCCCTGTCGTTGGCCAGGGTTTGGAGCATGACAGCAGGATGCCAGGACCGATTCAGCTCTCTTCGCCTGAGAACCCGACTGCAAAGCTTCGAAGACGCACACAGGCAACCCCCAAGGCTCGAAGAACTGGGCTTCACCGATGTATCTGCGCTTCAGATCGAGGGAACCGGGCGTTCGACACTCGTGCCGCGACCGATGGAAGGACCACGGCTCCTTTCAACCAAACAATTGTGTCATGTGACAGCTGACAGCGAACGATGCTGTCATCTGGCTGAAGTGGGCTGATATCTGAAGATCATCGAGTTGCGGCCCTGCCAAATGGCAGTCCTCCACAGGGGTGATGTTTTCCAATTGAACCATTGGTTGAACAATGGGTCGCGGGCGATGCTTGGCTTCGTGGAAAAGTTTGTTCCTGATTGATCGTATTGTTTTAGTCCCCGTCATACTACCGGCCCCCCTGTAACTTAATTGGTTACAGCCTCACTCTAGTGCGGCCCATGCTGTGCTCCTCAGTATTGGCGTTGGTTGGGCAAAGAACGGCATGGGATCAGGCAGTTTACGAAGCACCTAGCCAACCTCTAGGATGTAGGTGATTTGGTAGGATGCAACAATGTGGGCAAAATGATCAAATCTCTGGCACACATTGAATGGGCAAACCTCACTTCATCTCTATACATCTCACAAGGAGTTTTTCTTTTTTTTTAACCTTTGTCCAAACTCCTCTCCGTCTCAGCCGAAGCTTTCCCCTGTGACCGAATCGGGCCTTGGGCTGATGTTGAGGGGGTCGTAGAAGATGAGATCGTAGGAGTTGGCCGGCAGGGTGGCGAGAATCTTCTGCCAGGGCCCATCATGCACATGCACCGATGGGACCAATCCGCCCTGAGACGCCTCCAGCCACCGTGGCAAAAGCGCGGTGGTGATGTCACACGATGAACAGTGCCATTGGTTTGGCGGATTGATGGACAGTAGCAAAGATGAAAGATACATTCTATAGAGTTTTGAATGGTGAACATGATTCCTGCCACCAGGTGATGACTCGAACAAAGCATCATGGACTCTTTTGACGTCAACCAAATGCAAATCTGGCGCGTGGTCCTGCATCTGCACTCATACTTCCCTGCACTCCCTGTACATCAGTGGTCAGGCATCTGCATTTAGGTCAGGTTACTTCTAGCTCAATAAGCTCGGTTCATTGGTGGCGGTGCCATCATTCCGCTGGCCGCCGGCATCCCGCTTTGCGGGGGAGCCTGCTGCTGGGGCGATCGATACCCCATCCGCTGCAAGAATTCTGTGTATGTACTTTGCATGCCAACAGTCCTATCTTCGATCAAGGCTGCAAAAAAGCGAGCTTCCTTGGGATCCCCTTGCCGCAAGATCTGCAGCTGCAGGAAAGGGGTCGGTCTCTCTGCTCGGACTTGTCTGATAATGTTGGCGAGCTTCTCTGACAAAGGATCTCCACGAGTGCCCACCATGCTCTCGGCGGCGAGGACATCCATCTGCTCAAATGATCCGGTGCCGAAGACCGCTTGCAAGAAACTGGGGTCCACTGCTCTGCCAATCCACATGTACATGGACTCCCCATCCTCAAGCAAGTAGACACCATCTTGGGTCATGGACTCACTGGTGAGGTTCAGCATCTCAGGCAGCTCTATCCAGCCATGCTCGTTTGGCATACGGCATGAGTTGGGAGCATTGTGCAGTGCCATGAGCCTTGGGTTGAAGAATGCTGCGCTCTGCGACACAGACAAAGTCTCCAATCGCATCCAAACATAAGTTCTGAGATCGGAAGAGATGTCATTTGTCGCACGGAACGCAGCTGATTTCAGCATTCCCATAATGTATAAAGGCAAGAACTGAAGAGCATCCGACTGAGGACACATGTTGCCGGCCTGAACCACTTGTTGGCAGAAAGAATTCAATTTGTTTCGGCCATCGGTCTGATTGCTTTTCAAAGATTGCTCCATGGCCTGGTGACACATCATCACGGCACTAGCCTGCACATCTATGGAGCCAATCATGTCATTGAAGTTTGGAGTGGTCATGGCAGCCCACGTGTGCACTCGGATGCGCCGCTCGCCCTCGCTGTTGGTATACAAGAGGGCACTCTGCACGTAGAGCACAGGATCCGGTGTCACGTTCTCCTCCATGTCGACCTGAATTGCAAAGGTTTGATCAGAATGACAGTTGGGAACCACCAGCAAATCCTGACCGCGGATGAAGAGGTGTCCATCGAACTTGGTGATTTTCCACCCTCGAGAGACTCGAATCCTCATCACCGCTTCCCAGCCCATGTAGCGAGTGAGCACATGCACCAGCTCAGCCTTGAACTTCTCCTCACATACACACAGCTGATGCTTTGTCGCA